ACTCCACCCAGTGTGCTCGCTTTGCCCGTCCTGGGTTGCGACCCCTCTGGGTCAGCAGTTCGGAGCCGCCAGCCTCTCCGAGTGGGTTCGAGGCCAGGCCTTGCAGCCGGGGAAGCCCCCCTGCCAGAATGCGGGCGCTGTGCGACATGGGGCGCGGGCGTGGGTGTGCCCGCGGGCAGCAGGTGGGGCGCAGAGAACGCAGGCGGCCATGTGACCCCGAAGTGACTTCAAGGAGACAAAGGGTCCCTGGGTCGCAGCCGCCAAGGACGTGTCTCCACGGGTCCAGGGCGAGGGCGCCCCCGGCCAGCGTCCTCAGGGTTGGCAGGGACAGGTGCAGAGAACACCCCGCCCCGGCAGTGTTTCATGGCTGGGGTTGGGCTATGAAAGTAGACCTGGAGAGGCTCCAGGACCCCATGCTGCCCCTTTCACGATCAAGGTCACCCGGGCCCCTCCGAGGAAAGAGCAGGTGTCTTCAGCGCTTAGGGACGCCTCCAGAGAGAGATGGTGGGTGGGACGGGGGTGGGGAGTTGGGGGAGGGTCTCAATGGACGATGAGGCTACGGATGAGTGAATCAATGGGTGGATGAGACAGAGAGATGTGTAGATAGTACATAGGAGGGTGGATGGTGGGTGGGTGGAGAGACAAGGATGTGTGGGTGGAAAGAGATGGTAGATAGGTGATCAATACATGATCAATATATGAATGAATGAGATATGGATACGTGGTGGATTGTGGATGGATGGATGGGATGGATGGGATGGATGGATGGATGGATGGATGGATGATGGATGGATGGATGGATGGATGGTGGATGGATGGATGGATGGATTGATGGATGGATGAATGGATGGATATTCAAGAAATGGCTATGTATGCATGAGTACAATGTGTCTCTATCTGGGCTTTTGAAGACCCAAATTCCTCCCCAAAGGTCTTTAGCGTCACTTAATATCTCCAAATGTTCTTACCAATATGAAGCAAGAACACCGTCTATTTTTAAGGGAAACAGAGTTAAAATGTGCGCCCGGTCATCTCAGGGGTGTTCGCCTCTGTGCTCCCTGGGCCCCTCCCTTCCTCCTCCTTCCTCTCCGGCCCTGCGGGACAAGGCATCTTGTAAAGACATGCGTTGCTATCTTGGTTTCTCCCGTTTCCAGACAAAGCTACCAAGCACTGAGGACCTCGGCAGTGGTCACGCGACCCAGCAGGAATGTGCCCCCAGGCCTGGGGGCCTGGTCACCTTCTTCATCGTTCCCAATTCACCCTTGCAGGTGGTCTTTGCATACCTTCTCCACCTGTGATGCTGCATGAGCTGGGTTACCTGGGGTGCTGTTCTATAATCTGGTGTAAATTTGAGGATTAAGAGTGAAGGGGTGGAGTCTGGCCTGTCAATCAAGATAGAACCAAATGAGGCCTCTGTGTGGGCGGGGCCTTCTCCTGAGGATTCTGGGAACTCTTGTATGTCCTCCTGGGAGGCAGAAGACACCCTGTCCCTGCTCACTTCCGGCGAGACATCGCTGAGGAGAAGCACATGGACCCGCCCTGATGCGGCCCTGGGGGCTGGAGCAGCCCCATGGAGACCCCGGCCAGCGCTGACATGCTTGCACCACCACTGGATCCAAAGACCCCCCACCCACTGGCCTGCGGTCATCCTGTATTTCGTGAGTCTGAAGAGGACTTTATAGATGGGTATCGGAGATGGGGGCTAACCTCGGACTGATGGGCTTGGACCGCACTGGGTGGAATGCTTTTTTCAATGTACGATCCCCCTTTTATAAAACCCTTCCTGCGTCTCCATGGATTTGTTCCCTCGTCTACCGACTGACACACCTTGGTGGGGTAGTAGCCCGTATCAGGTGGCCCTGTAGGACCTGCTGGACAGGCAAGCTCAGCTGTGTGGACCACTCACCAGGCGCCCCCAGAGGACAAGCCAACATTGACGAGCACAGAAATCGTAGATGGGGGGCTACCCCTAATGCACGGGGTGGGCTGCGGTCACCGTTCGAATACAGAAATCCAAACCAGGAGGTCGGGGCTTGAAGATCAGTCTTTGGATTCGGCGTGGGCTGCCTGCATTCTAGGGGGGCTCATCGGGGATCACGGGGCTGCTCTTCTCAGCAGGGACGGGGTGCAAAGACTTGGGAGCTCCCCCCGCCCCCCTATATCTTCCTGCACTCTGTCTGAAGCCAATCTGTCACCTCTTCTCTTCTGCACATCTCGTTCACCTGTACTGGGTCCACCTGGACGCCCAGGGTGCCCGGTAGCTCAGCAGTGATGGGATGTCGCCGGCACACAGCAGGACCGGCGATTTGGCTGTGCTGCTGGAGACAGACCTCGGCCCTGCTCCGCGAGAGGGTCGAGACCCCGAGTTCTCAGCCGCTGGAAGTTCGAGGTGCTCTACGTCTCTGTCTGTCTCACAACTTTATTGGTGCCTGACACACATAACATAAAATGCCATTGCTCCGTCGTTCGATACAGCAAGGCAAGAAGGATTGCACGCCCATCGCCGCGGTCAGTCTGGGGACAATTCCTGGCTACTCACGGGGCCTGTGCCTGTACACTGGGGCCCGGCCCACACGTCCCAGAAGTTGGTAGCCGTCTGATCGCTGAAATCCACACTTCTCAGCCTGCATCTGCTGTGCCGAACAGTCTGGGATCTTAGGGTCTCGTCACCCTCCATGGCGGCGGTGACCATGGCCTGGGGATAGTCCACCTTCCTCATCAGCGCCCCCAGGGCCAGCTGGGGGAAGGGCCACTGCAAAATCATGGCCTTCACGACCTCCCCGTGGCCCCTGGCAAACGCTGACACGAACAGGGGTGGGAAGAGCTCCCTGGGCAGCCAGTCCAGCGCGGCAAGGACGGAGTCCTCATCCTGCAGCCCGCTCTGGATGGCCAGGTCCAGCAGCCTGGGGGGCGTCCTGCGGCTCATGCCGGTCAGTCCGCTCCAAGGGGAATCCTGGCCTGGGAACGGAAAGGGGGTCTGCTCACACCTCCGGGAGGGCCAAGCTGGCCGCCCCAGCACTCCCAAATCTGGGGCCCCTTCACCTGCCCCCCCCTGCGCCCCTCAGAAGGGAGCCTTGCGGCCACCCCACTCGTCCTGTCCACTCACAGTGGTCGAGACAGCCACGCTCCCGCGGGACAGACTTCAAACTGGACCCTGCTCCTGGCTCGCGTTGGTCCAGAGGCTGTGGAACGGAAGGCGGCAGGTCCGGTGCAGGGCGCTGACCCGGCCGCTGGGAGGAGGCTCAAGCCAAGATCGGGTGGCGGTTGGCGGTTGCTGCCTCACGTCACGAGTCCCAGACGTCACCTGAAAGGGTGGATCGAGCAGCAGACTGGAGGACGCAACGTGGGGGTGGTGACGACTTCCCGGCCCCCAAGTTTGCTTCCCCGACTGCTCGTGAGCCCCTCTGGGTGCTGAGACCCTAAGGCCGCAGTTCTCAACCTGTGGGTTGAGACCCCTTTGGGGGCCACCGCCCTTTCGCAGGGTCGCCCGACCCATCGCAGGAGCAGACTGACAGTGGCGTAGCGACGAGTCATGCGATGGTTGGGGGTCCCCACCGCGCGAGGAGCTGTGGGAAAGGGGCGCAGCAGGAGCGAGGCTGAGAACCACGGCTCTAAGGTGAGTTTAGCACAGTCGTGGTTGCAGAGAGTGTTTCAAACACCAAAACTGGGTGAAATCATCTCAAAACGTAGGGTCCCGTGAAGAGATACTTTCTGAGCAGAAGCCCCTGTGCTCCATTCTCGTTCTTGAATCTGGCTTTGGGGGGTGGGGACGATGGGTTGGGGACCACATGTCCAATTTGCCCTTCCTGTTGATGACAGTTTGGTAGAGGAGCGGACAACAGAAGTAAAAATAACTCCTGTTTTTATTCTGTTATGAGTGAACTCTTTTTTTTAAAAAACATTCGGTCACGATCCTTTATTGTGAATTAGTTGGGGTACCTAGCAGATCATCAATTTTGTGGTCAGCACTCAGAGTCGTATAAACCCCGCTAGGAGTTTATAGCCACCCATCTCCTAGAAGCCTTAAGGAGATTCGCTGTGCTGCCGCACGTGGCCAGAGAGCCCCTCAGAGGGCAGGGTGGACGTCTTGTCGGGAGGGACCGGTCCCACGAGAAGAAACACGTCGCGCCCGTAACGCGGAGGGCAGGGCGGGAGGGACAGCCTCCCCGGGCGGCCTTGGCATCGTGGCCGCATCAGTGCCCGCGCTGCGTCCCTCCGCTGGGCGTCGGGTGGCCGTGGGCGGAACCGTGAACCGCAGCCGGCAAGGGTCCCTCCACGTCTCGGAAGGAAGGCTGAGAACAGGGCACGGGTTGGGACCTGACCCCCCATCCTTTCCGGCGATTGCATCGGGACTAAGGAACAGTAGCGTCTCCACTCAGACAAGCACGCGGCTTCCTGCGCAGCAGTGACAAGTCCGACAGGAGGGGTGGTGTCTTCGTCCGAGGGAAACGTCAAGGCCTGTCTTGCTCTGTGAAGGCGGATCTCCACGGCGTACAAGAGGCTTGTCCACAAGAGAAGGGGCCAACTTGCTCAACACCCACGGCGGCAGAAACGGGGGATTCTAGCAACTACGTCGTCGGGCTAAAACTGACCTTGACATCAAGCGGCACTGACGAGTCTTGGTAACAGGATGAGGAATTTGGACACAGGAACAGCGGCAGTCGGAGACGGGGTCCCCGTGAGACGGGGGGATCTGGAAATTGCACGACAGACTTTTCAAGGATGGGGTCACTTCACCGCACACGTTGTCTCAACAACAAAGTCAGCGGCACATGCAAACTCCCGCAGTGCAATTCCCAGGAACCAAGCAGATTGCACCTGTGGGACGTGGTTTACGGTGCGGAGACCCCCGTCACGAATGTCCGTTACGGGGGACACAAAGCCGGAGTGACCTGAACAAGGGCTGTGACCACCTGACGTGGACGGGCATCTGCGGGTCACAGCCAGGGGTCACTTCAGTCCGGCACGGAATCGGGAAACCATCAAATTCGTGACCGCTGGGCAGCCCACTCATCAAAATCAGGTGGTGGTGGGGGGCATTACAGAAGCCAAATGAGGGTCAGGATTCAGACACACATTCTGTTAGATGCAGCTGACAGGACTGGTCCTTCCCACTAAGGCAGTTGGGCAAGGTGATTAGGGTGGGCCCCGCTATGCCGCCTTAATGACCGCCTTAATGACCGCCTATGCCGCCACCCTCAGGCAAACCACGAAGAGACTGCCCCTCCCTGGGCAGTCGGCAGAGGACGATGCACCCCACCTGGGGGCAAGATGATCCGCGTCCTTGCTCCCAGGGCTCAGGGGCTCCGTGAGGTGGGTTTTGGGTTTTGACTGCTGTCCATCCCCCTGAACCTGAAATGCTCAGACCTGAAGCCCTAACACAGCAGAGATTCGGGGAGCACACATTCTCTGCCGTCAAATGACACGGGGTCCGTGTAACGAACAAGTGTGATCCACAGGCGCTGTGGGTCACCTCAGGCCCACGCCACACGATGCCAAGCCCTCTCGCGCCGGTCTTGGACAATCGAACCCTAACAGCAGAAACGGGGTCGGCTCTTGGAAAACATCCATGACGTCGTTCATAAGAAAGCAACGATCATCCCCGAAATGGAGAACGACGATCAGAGTGGAGCTCAAAGCGATGGTGGAGCCTGCCCTTGGTGGAAACGTCGCCACAGCAAGTGGAAGAAAGGAGGAAAACGCGGAGCAGAATTACTTCCACGGGAAACATAGAAGATGATTAAGGCATCACAAGGAGGGACAGTGCCCGAGGGAACATCATCAGAGTTATCACGGTGAGGAAACGGGTCTCGTCCTCTGTACGGGGGAGATAAGAGCCGAGAACGGCTGCCACGCCATCAGGGCTTGTCTGGCATCGTCCAAGAAAAATGGACGCAGTGCCGCGTCCAAACCGGCTTGTCTGTGGTCGCTTTCTCTCAGTCGAGAGACTACCCACCGGCCGTCACTTCTGAAGAGATCGTTGTGAAGAACTGTCTCTAAAAAGGGCAGGCACTTTATTGATGACCAGGTCAGACTTGCGGACAAAGGACGGGGCTCTCTCTGGTTTAAATGGCTTAGTCGACGGGAAATGCGCTGCAGCCTGTTTCCCACGTGTGTCTGGGCCTCTCCTCTCTCCTGCCAGAGCAATCTCCTCCCGGGCGTCCAGACACCCAGGGAGATCCAGGGCCACAGCTGTCCCCTGTAAGCTCCTAAGTCCACCCTGGGAGTTTGCTGGTCAGTAAATGGGTGTGGGGTCTCAGGACCACTCCCTGGCTCGATACAATCGGAGGAGCCCTGGTGCTCTTGGTTGTTCATGGGGCTGCGACCCCCAAGGCCGTTGGTGCAAGACCCCAGCCGCTCCACAGGGAGAGGGGGGCCCTGGGGCACCAGCAAGGTCCCCCTGAGTTGGCGTTGGCTGGAGGGCAGCGGGGTTTGCTTTGAGAAAAGATGAAGCCGGGACTCTGTAAGAAAGGCCGTTGGGCATAGAGGCATCTACACAGTGCAAAGACGGAGCGGAAGGGCCCCTGAGAATGTGTTAAGGTGATGTAGCTGACAAGGACCTCCACCGGATAGAAGGGGAGGGACACTTAAGCCGTGAGTGGCAAAGCTAAAATAGCTTTAGACGCAGCTTTGGAAGAGGTTGTTAGGAGCCGGGGTGTCCTTCCCGACCCACGGTCCAGCCGGCGCTGGCTGGAAGCTGGAGGGACAGTCGCAGAGAGGTGAAAGGGGCCCAAGAACTGGACCCTGGACCATCTCAAGAGGGAGCCGGTGCTCAAGAAGCAGTGGAGAAGGACAAGACCTTCCCGCTGTGGGTCCTGGGGTCCCCCCTTTTACCTCGCCATAGCCACGGGTCTGCCCTCCCGTGGGGAGCCCCTGGGTCGTCCCATCCACCTACCGTGGCTCGAGGAACTGGGTCCAGGGCTGGGCAGGGATTGCAAGTCCACAGAAGCACTTCGATCCAGCCCGCCTCTCTGGATTGGAGTCAATCTCCTCCTCCCTCTGCCTCCTCTTTAACTGATATCCCCTGTGACCTCACAGATTGCAGGGCAGTCCCTCCCTGGGGGCTCATCAGGGCTGGCTAAGGATAGGAGGTTTACTCTCCCAGCCTCGTAGCACCTGCCTTACTTATCACGAGGCTCACCTCAGGGTCGGTCGAGACACAGGTGCTGACCCCTACCGTTAATGCCATACAGCAAAGCAGGCCCACGGCAGCGTGGAGTTGTACCCACTCTGGTCGCCCTGGGGGACAGAGGACACCTGCCTCCTTGATGTCTGCAGGGGTGGAGGTCATCCCACAGCCGGCCCGCTTGCTACCATTAGTGTTCACTCATCCGTCTGCCCCTGAGGCCTCCAGGTGGGGTCATTTACGGTTGTTTGGGCTCTGGGGCACGTGTTTCCTGTCCTCCCCTTCCGTTTGCAGCTCTGTGTGAGGCTCGGACGGCCTGTTTCGCAGGGGCCCCAGCTTTGCTTTGGGCTCCTGGAAAGTGGTTTCTCCAAATCTCCTCTGAGTTCGAGCTTAGACTTTGTGGCTGCAGGAGCAGGAGGCTAAGGCGGCAGGAAAACCTGAGTCCACCTGCAGAGTGACCTCCTAGAGAGGCCTCACTCAGTCACTGTAGGGAGCAGGTCACCTGCCCTCGATCAGAACTGGATTCCGTCCACCCGTCTCCGTGGGCTCTGGGGGCGGCGGCTCTCAGGGGCTCGCCTGGGTGTGGCCTTGCTGCAGGGAATGGGGATGCATCTCAGGAGAAGGTGTCGGCAATTGTTTGAGATGGAAGAGCCGATGCAGCCTGGCACACACATTCCAAATCGTTCCAGTGTCAGGGAGATATTTTTGCAAACACATAAAATACTCATTCTTTGAACAGTATCCTTCAAATGAAGCCAGGATCGTGGAATTTAAAACTGTGCTCCAGCCACACTGGGCCCTAAAGAGCTTCTTAAGGTTCGCAAGCCAAGCGTGCTGACCCCTGCTCGGGCGTCAGACCCTGGGCGCCTTGCCCCCACGGCCTTGGTGGAAGGACCAGTGTTGTGAGCACTTCTACCTAACCCTGCCGTCTGACTGTACGGACGCAGACGGTCTCACATCTCTCAGTTGGAGACCCGGGTGTGTTTGAACCCTCTGACTCAGTGCAGCCTCGCCTCAGCCTGATGTCCTTCCACAGTGACCACCTGCTTTGAGTCTCGGTCGCAGCAGGTGCAGATGACAAGCCGTTACACATCCATCCATGAAGACAGACCCAGTGTCCTGAATAGGGACCGAGGAGAGTCTGAGACGCAGTGAGGACAGTGTCCCCTGATCTGTCAGCTCCGTGCACACAGAGCCGAGCCAGCAAATCCACACGGTCAACGTGCAACATGGAACGCTCTCCCTTCACGCAAAACGTGACAAGCCGGCGTGTGTTGCGGCTCGTTTTGCCGGAAATAATGACAACCTGTGTCTGTGAGGCTTTCACAAGCAGAGCGGGTTCTCTCTGAGTCTGGGTGAGCAGGAAGGACAATGTAGGGACTGGCTGTAGGGGACGGCTCTCTCTCTCTCTCTCTCTCTGTCTCTCTGTCTCTCTCTGTCTCTCT